CTGAGTTTAGCTCAAATTCAGATTCATTTGAGAGAGACTTTACTTAAAATCTTAAATTGAAGGTCGAAAAAGAACATTACATGCTTTTTTTCAAGATTTTGTTACAGTATTCTTTCGCAAATCAAGTTTTTAAATCAGAAAGTATGAAAACTTTTATTCACTTAATCTCTAAAACTTTCTAAATTACTTTAAATTAACTAAGAATACTATATTGATACAATGATTAAATAAAAATATCAATAAAGGAGATTAAATCTTTATTTTACTAAAATTAATGACTTCAAGGATTTATTTGTACAAGTCTCTTGTTAGCAAATAAAGAAAAATACATTTAAACCCTATCATTTTTAATAGAAATTCTTAAATTCAAAGGTTAGTTTGTATAACAAAACTTTATTAAATTTAAAATAATAATACGACTTCTTAAGAAATGCAATTTATATCTTATAAATTTACTTTCTAAAAAGTTAATTTTACATAATAAATTTTAATGGCTATTTATAATAAAATTTCTAAGCTAATTCCTATCTTATTACAGTATAATTATGTAATGATTTTCTCATCAATGAGTAATATTCATGTTATATTGAAGTAATGATTATTTGATTATTTTATAATAATTTTTATAATTAATGGCTATTTAAGTTTTATAAAAATGTTTAATTATTACTCTATTATTACTACATTCTTGAAGTCTCTTTTTAGTATATCTACTTTAAACTTGTATTATGTATCATCATGGCTAATGATTTCATTTCTCTTCATTGATTATTTTATCTTAGAGTTTTGTGTAACATCTAGGTTGATCATTACTCAGCCAACTTCAATGATCTATGTCATACCAACTTCTTGCAGATCATTTTTGCCGTGTCACATGATCTCTTCTTTCCTGCAGATCCTTTGTGTTACAATAGATATAACTAGGGAACGGGGACCGTTGTTAAGTCCGGAACGATCTTAACTAAAAAAAATATTGCAAAGCCAATCAGCATCGACATCGGGACACTTTGCGTAACATATATAGTCCTTCACTTCGTTCCGGACTAATGAAGCAGAAAAATGAATACAATTAGATTATGAAATTAAGGTATTTAATCATATTTAAGTTATTTGATTTAAATTATTTAGGTCATAGATAAGTTATTTAGTCATAATTAGATTATATAAGTAAATTATTTGGTCATAAATAAGTTATATGAGTTATTTGATCATAGGTAAGTTATTTGGTCATAATTAGGTTATATGGTTACATGTAAGATATTTAGTCATATTTAAGAGTATTTATGTTAGATTAGTTTACGACACCATGACTTGAAAAATACAAATAGGAGTTACAAATACGTGGGGGTACTATTAAAAGTAGGAGATACATAGTAAATCATATGATCCGTAACGTGATTTTAAAAGCATATGATAGTGAAACAATTTATCATCGGAAGGATTTATTCGTATAAATCATAAGCACACAGATCGACATCGCGCACATAAGTAAAAAAATTACCCGAGTATTACTCTTTTCTTGCTTTGAATGGAATTTTTTTTTTTTTTTTGACCCTCAAATATTTTCGTCACCCATATACATTAGTGAAATTGCAAAGTTTTGGACAATTTTTTTTTTTTTTGCATGCGAATATGCAACCAATATGCTAATTAATATTCGAGGGTGAAACATTCTAAATTATTTCCTTGTTTTTAATTATTAAATTTCCATTCCATTAAAAAATAAGAATAAAACGTGGATATTAAAGTAATAAATATAAAAGCAATAAAATAATTATCATAGTTTAAGTTAATTACATAATTACGAGAGTACTCGGAATTATAAAATTTTTGTATAACTTAATTACTTCTTATTAATTATTCTTAGCACGTTTCCTCAAAGTCTCAGTTTCTAATTTTAAAAAAAGGTATTAACAAATGACAAAATAAATGATAACAGAAAATAAATAGCTATTCTAAACCTTCATCCGATTCAAAATCTTCATAGTCGTCTTCCTCTGCATTATAAATTCTAAGTTCAGAGAACCAATTTCATATAATGTATTAGAAGATATCGCGAAGAAAAAAAAAAAAAAATTAAAAATTTAACATTATATATATTTACGTCCATGCTTGAGGATATAAATCATCTTTAAAAATTCTACCCAAATCCCAAGAATTCTCGTCAGTACTTTCTTCAGAAAACCATTTAATAAAGCTTAGGTCATCATCCTCATCAACTTTGCGTTTCTTTGTATAGTTCTTTGAAAAAAAAAAAAAAAAAAAAGAATTTGCGGGTTGTTTCAATTCCTGTATTTTCTGTATATTTGACAAATTCATTTATTATATTTATATATACCCTTCCTTCAAACCATTCAATCGTTGTACTTTTTATCTTTCGTTGTCCATCCGCATCGACAATGAATTCCTAATTTTTAAAAACAAATAAAAATATGCTATATGCGAATCAACATACGATTAATTTACCTTTATGAGTTCTTTGTTCTTGAAATATTCATTCTCCAAAAACCTCAAGATAATTTTGAAATTTTCTAAAGAATTTTCGTCCATATCAACAGTCACGTCATTGATATATTGCACCACCTAAGGACGAATTATCAGGAAATTAATAGGCTTAAAATACACCTAACCTATCACACATCTAAATTTATTATGTATCTACCGAATAATCATCGTTATCCAAATATTGCCCTATAACATGAAGTTCATTTACGATTTTTTTTTTTTATTTAAAACATTAAGAATTTGATTAGAATAATTAAGTAACTTACCGATAAGAACCTGTTTCATAAGCTATCATCCACACAAAAACAAAAAAATACTATAAATTTGATATATTTTTTAAAAACTCGTTTCAAAAATAATTTATACTGTAACACCTACTACTTGTGACCAAAATTTTGGGATTCGTTTTAAAACATTCCTCCTTTTTTCATATATCGGTTTAAATGCTCTAATGTGTTGTTTCGCTACACAAGAAAAGTTCGTTTAGAGAAACATTCGTTTCATATAACTGACATAATTTTGCAATGAATTACCGATTTCAAGTTCGGTATTCTCGATTTCTTGGGTAATTACCCCCATTTCCTCGATAATTGATTCATCGAGCACACCATTTTCTATGTCAGAATTCGAACTTGTTGCCATCTTTTTCTTAATAAAAAAAAACAAAATGGTATTTTTTCGGAAATTAAAAATTTTAAAATATCGTTATTGACCTGATTGGCTTGTTGCTTTGGTGCTACGATTAACTAATCGGAGAAGAAACTTCCACAAGTTACACGATATCTATTTTCGGACGATTTATTTCTTTTTAAAACGACGTTGTTCTGACTTCTGACCCTTATCCCCCCCCCCCCCCCAATCATCGAAAAACTATTTACATAACCGTTTTATTATAATTTCAACCTCAAACCTATTTATTTAAAATGGAAAAAAGTTCAAAACTTTGTGTTTTAGCAGACAACACGCTCGTTAGCATTGTCGAAAGAAATAGATGTAAGGCCGAGAATATTGAGTATCCACATGATATAACAATTAATAAAAATATGGATAAGTTGCGGACTGGCATTAAAGAACTAGAACAAGAATTATCGATAGACGAGGAGTCAGGGACTCTGTATGTGCAATGTAATTTCGTTTACACTCTCGTTATTTTGACTAAATAATACTTTACTTTTTAACAAAAAAAAAAAAATCTAAATCATAATATTGCCATATTAGAAATTCCAAAGAACTTAAGGAAAGAGAAGATACGCTTATCAAATTGACAAAACAATTCGAAAAGCTTGAAGCTTTAATGCAAGATAGAAATGATATCACCGCCAAGTATGAATTTAATAATGTAAAGATGTGTGTTTATTTAGATTAAAATCTAATCTTCGTATATAAAATTTTAGAGAATTACTACTCGGACTTAATTCCATGAACGAATCTTCCTCCAGAAAATCGAAAAAAACTGTTCGATTTTCTGATCAACTCATAGAAACCGATGATCTTGATAATACTCAAGTTCTTCAATTGCAGCAACGAATGATGCAAAGTAGGCGATAAAAAAATTTTTTTTTTTAATTATTATTAATATTATGTGAAGTTACTTATTTTCAAACATGAAAATGATATAGGTCAAGATGAAGATTTGGATAGATTGGATCTTGCAATAGGACGTCAAAGAGAAATGGGAATTTTGATTGGCGAAGAATTGGACTATCATGTGGAATTATTAATGGAGACAGAAGATGCAGTTGATAGAACTGAAGGAAAATTAAATAAAGCAAAAAGGAATCTCTCCACAGTATCAAAACGAGTAAAAGAAAATGGTAAATATTCTATCTATCAATCCATATATTACGATATAATATTATTAATAATTTATTATATAATTTTTTTTAGGTTCTTGGTGGATTATTGCCTTATTGATTTTCATATTGATTTTAATACTTGTAATTTTATCGTAATTTTGATATATTATCATGTTAACGCCTCATTGTTTTTTTATTAATTTATCATATATAGATTATCTTTGTTATTAGACTTACATATATATATCTGATTATTTAGTATTTCATAATCATTCAACTTAATATTTTACCTCTTCTTCATATTAATATTTGCTTGAATTAATGCATGATTTACATTATTTCAGACAGGGAATACGTTATATTCTTTTTTAATTATTAATTTTTATTTTATTTTTTCCCTTCCTTTTTGTTTTTAATTTTTTCTTCGAATAAACATTATCTTGGGTATTCTCAGCTTCTAAAATATTACGCTTCTTTTTTTGAATTTCTTTTGAAGCCCCAAAATTGGTATCATGCAAATGCTAAAAGCAATATAAAAATATTATTTAACAATGTATTAAATAAATATCTTAAGAAAATAAATGTTAAAAAAATCTACCATCGTAGCGACACGTTTTGCGGTTGCAATTTCATTCAAACTTTCCAATACTTTATTCTCGTTAATTTCCCATTCTTCCATTTTTTTATCTAAGAAGAAAAAACAAATATTAATTATTTGGGTACGTTATGATCAAGAGATTATGAGGGGATTAACTCACTTATTTTTGTTTCAATATTTCGTACAAGTTCAATATCGCGTTCGGTTACAATTGACAAAGCCGTACCGCCTCGACCTAAAGGTATTAAATTTTACTTGAGAATTCAAGAAAAGGTCATCAAACCAAATTTTATTTGCTTTAAATATTCTTCATACCAGCTCTTGCGGTACGACCGACTCGATGAATGTAATCTGTGGGATCACGTGGGACATCAAAGTTAATAACGACTTGCACAGTCGGAATATCAAGACCACTGTATTAATAATAAAAAAAAAGATGACGATCTCATAATTAACAAAACATTTGCGATTCAATAAGAAAGGAATTCAAAGATTTCACATAATAACACCAACCGACTACCAACGTCAGTAGCGATCAACACTTTCACTACTTCTGCCTTGAATTTACCCAAACTATTTAACCTTTCTTGTTGACTCATTGTCGAGTGTAAACTTGTACAACGAATATCCAATTCCACGAGCATAACACGCAAGAGTTCAGCAGTACGACATCGTCCACAGAATATGATAGTGGATTTATTTGAAAGTTTCTCAGATCGAAGAAGATGAGTTAGATAAGGTTCACGTATGTGTGATGGAATCAATACATAATATTGCAATAAGGACGATACTGTCGACATGCTGGATCAAGAATATAGAGTTTAATTAAAACCACCAATGATGAATTAACTTAAAATACTCGTTAAAAAAATGAACAATGAACTTACTCCGATTTCACTTGATAAACAAAGGGTTTTTTGTTAGAATCTTCTTGCGTGTCTTGTAACTGCATAATATTTTCAGTCATCGTCGCCGTAAATAACAAAGACTGGCGTTCTTTTGGTATAGTATCAAATATAACTGCAAGATCTTCCACAAATGTATCAGATAACAAACGATCCGCTTCATCAAGAACCTTTGTCAATGAGAATGAATTATAATAATTAATTTGAATAATCCTCTTAGATAATCGTAAAAAAAAAAATATTACCAACCAAAAATCTTATTCTCCCTAAACAAGATGCGATTGCGCTACTATTGATATGATCTACAAGTCGACCAGGTGTCGCTATTACCACATGTGGTTTCCTAGATAATTGTATTGCCTGACTCATCATATCAAGTCCTCCAACAACAACACATTCTTTAAGGTTTATACCTTTACCAAGTACTCGAAATTGATCAGCAATTTGAAAAGCCAATTCCCTAAAAAAAAAAAATCAATTGAACTCGTTCAAACTAAAAAAAAATCAATTTAGGTGTCAACAAACCTCGTTGGAGTTAAAATAAGTGCAAATACACCAAATGGGTCCTCCGATAATTTTTGTAAAATCGGTAAAGCAAATGCTGCAGTTTTACCTGAGCCTGTTTTTGCTCCTCCTA